AGAGCAGGCTCCCAGGGCAATCTTCCCATCTGTCCTGAGGCAGGCATCCTGTTGGCCACATGGAAACTTCCAGACAAAAGCTCTGGACAGGCGAATGCCTGACGCCGAAGGTACCCAAGCACCTGGGAGGCGCTGAGTGCTGCAGCCCTGAGCAGGGCCTGCCTGTGAGGAGTCTGTTGCTTCCGGCTGCCCTGTAGGACTTTCTCTTTGGTTCTTCTTCAAAGAAAATATGGCAGTACCTGTTTCAGCTTGGCCTGGCCTTTCCCTGCTCTTCTCAGTTTACCAAAAAATACCACAAAGTAAAATCAGCAAATAGCATGTCTGGACCTTTTTTCTTTTTAAAGCAGTTTTAAAAGGAGATGGATTTCATTTGGAAAGCATTCCAAAGAAAGGAGCATTTCTTAAAGAAACACACATTTTGGAAAGCACAGCTCTCCTCTAGAAATTCTTGCTTTCTTAAATACAGGGTTTTCTTTTGAGGCAATAGTTGGGATGGCGGAGGGCTCCACCGGCTTCATCCGCTCCCTTGGCAGTGGCTTGGTTTGCGTTAGCCTCAATTCACATGACACAGACTCCCCCTACTCAGAGGCATGGCCCACTTTGCTGCAGAGATACAGACCTGCCTGCTCTCCTGGGTCATGGCTGTGCTATGTTGGTCATATCGGATACCTTACTAGAGTCCTTTGATGTCTTTTGCTCCTACTCAAACCCTACCCATGTTAGAGGCCATGAGGACCAAAGAATGGCATGTTCACTAAGGAACTCCACTCATCCCATCTGCTCTTTGCACATTCACCTTTGCTTGGGTATTTATCATTCCCATCTCAGTGACCCTCTCCCTCCAGATACACACACAGATGCACTTCAAGGCGTCCATCTGTTCCATCTTGGTTTTGACAGCCTGGGTCAAGGTCATCCTTTTGTCTGGGCTCTAAGTCTTGCTGGAGGTGAAATTCATCCTCTTGCTCCCCTGGAGAACAGCTGTGTCCATAGTCGAGGGCTGACTGTGAAGAATGTTGTGTCTTAGAACTCTTAACACGTGATCACTCAAGTCCCAGCATCCTCCTCTATTTTTCATGATTTTTAAACGCAGCTTCTGAAGACCATCATCGAGCCTGCCTTCAACTCCTCTTTGATGTTATGTTACAGCCACTATTGGGTTCTATTCTTTGAATATTTGAGCAAGCAGCCTTCCAAAACCCCAATACTCTTGCTGTCATGGACTTTGGACTTTTTTGTCTTGTTCTTGGTTGAAGAATCTACCATAACTTGTAGAAAACTCATGACTTAATGAGGGAGTGTCAGTATACAGTGCTCAGTCTGGTACTTGGCCATATTAAAGCCTAAGTTACATAGCTAATATCTATCCACGAGACAACAGAAATACTGTCAGTTCTCCCAGGAATTTCCCATGCCCACCTTCCATCTTTTTGAGGGGGGTCTCATTTTGGCCAGAAGAGGGCAGTGTTGCACATATGGTCTCCCCTGTAACAGTGGCTTCCCCGGGAGCCCAGAGTTTCTTATTACATGACAGGTATTACTGGAACATTCCACTTGGCTCCTTTTTGTTAACTGTAGGCCTAAAATAGCCAGGGCAGCAAGGATGCAAAAATCAATGTGAACCAGGCCTTCAGGAGCTTGTGACCTCTGAATGTCAAGGCCCTTGAGTCACATTCTCCTAGTGCCACCAGGTACTTGGTGTGTGGGTGTGAATAGCTACAGTGTGCCTTAGAGACTGGAGAAGGGGACACATTACATACACAGGGAAACCTGGTGGAAAGCATCGCGAGAGGGGACCACAGAGGGCTTCCAAGATGGCCAGGCAGAGCTGGGAAGAACAGTGCTCCAGGCAGAAGGAAGAGCCTCTGGGATGAGAAAGCACTGATGTGTTGGAGGAAGAGCCGGGTGGGACCCAGTGTGTCTTGGGTATAAAATGTGGGAACAGAAGGAAGAACGGTAAGACTGGAGATGTTGGCCGGGTCCAATCACAAAAGGTAAAGGCTTTAGGAGATTTGACTGTATCCTATCATCACAGCTAACAGTTAGTGAACGTTGACTGTGCACCAGGGCATGGTTCTAAACATTTTTCAAGTAAACTCATGAAATCCAACAACCATGATCATCCCATTGCGAGTGGCCAGGTTCCCCGAGATGGAGGCTTTGGAATAAGAGGTGCAGGTGGGCCGGGTGCGGTGGCTCACGCCTGTAATCCCAGCACTTTGGGAGGCTGAGGCAGGCAGATCACGAGGTTAGGAGATTGAGACCATCCTGGCCAACATGGTGAAACCCCGTCTCTGCCAAAAATACAAAACAATGAGCTGGGCCTGATGGCTTATGCCTGTAGTCCCAGCTACTACTTGGGTACTTGGGAGGCTGAGGCAGGAGAATTGCTTGAACCCGTGAGGTGGAGGTTGCAGTGAGCCAAGATCGCACCACTGCACTCCAGCCTGGCGACAGAGCAAGACTCTGTCTCAAAAAAAAAAAAAAAAAAAAAAAAAAAAGGGTGTAGATGGTGTTTTCAAGAATGCTCCTGGGATTAATACCTGGGGAGGAAAAGAGCAAGAACAGGTGGAGGCAGACATCGACCTGTGATCCAGTCTCAACAAAGGCTCTGGCCTACCCCAGGACACCTAGCAGTGGGGACTGCCCTTCAGAGATCTTCCAAGTTGGGATGAGGGGTCTTGGTCTTCATACACTGGTATCAACCAGTCATTGGATACAGGTGCTCCAAAGAAGGGGCCGTGACCTTGGGCAGCTCTCTTAGGCCAGGGTCAGTTTCCAGAGAGAGACTCAGCTTAGGGCTATCAGTCTGCAGCACTCCAAGAAGCTGGGGAAATCAATCCTTTAGTACTGAAGTGGGTTCTGGCTAATGCAGCCCAGAGTCCACTACTCTGAGCCTAGGAAGCTTCCCAAGGTCTCAGGTCACTCGTCAGTGTAAGAGGCAGGACTGGAAACCAAAGCAGCTTGGTCTCAGGGTCTGAGCTCTTCACCAGTCACCACCATCCTGCAGTGTAGATAGTGGGGCTTGATGGAGATTATTTTATTTATTATTTATTTTAAGATGGAGTCTCTGTCACCCAGGCTAGAGTGCAGTGATGCGATCTTGGTTCACTGTAAGCTCCACCTCCCAGGTTCACACCATTCTGCTGCCTCAGCCTCCCAAGTAGCTGGGACTACAGGCATCTGCCACCACACCCGGCTTTTTTTTTTTTTTTTTTTTGTATTTTTAGTAGAGACGGGGTTTCACCGTGTTAGCCAGGATGGTCTTGATCTCCTGACCTCGTGGTCTGCCCACCTCAGCCTCCTAAAGTGCTGGGATTACAGGCGTGGGCCACCGCACCCGGCCCGACTTGATGGAGATTTCTAAGCAAGAGGAAAGTTGAGGCTCAAGTCTTTCTTTGGGAGTGTAGCTTTTGATGAGGTAAAGTGGGTGGGAGGAGAAAGACTGGAGATGAGAATACCTCTTTTTATATATAGGTTCACACACATATAAAGGAAATGCCAGCCTTATTACTATATTAACCCGTTCTCACACTGCTAATAAAGACCTACCCGAGACTGGGTAACTTACAAAGGTTTAATGGACTCACAGTTCCACATGCCTAGGGAGGTCTCACAATCGTGGTGGAAGGTGAACAGGCTCAAAGTCATGTCCTGACATGATGGCAGCCAATAGAGCGTTCAGGGGAACTGCCCTTTCTAAAACCATCCGATCTCGTGAGACTTATTCACTGTCACGAGAACAGCACAGGAAAAACCCACCTTCACGATTTCATTACTTCCCACTGGGTCCCTCCCATGACACATGGAGATGATAAGAGCTACAATTCAGGATGAGATTTGGGTGGGGACACAGCCAAACCTATGAAATACAAAATTCAAAACGTACAAAAGTGAAAATAAATCTTCTTACTCCTGTCCTGCTTCCTGGATACAGCCATCCTTACCCGTTTCTTGCATATGCTTCCAGAGCTAGTATATGCATATTTAAACAGACACAGACGGGTGCCATATTTCACACTCTTAGTATCACACTATACACACTGTTCTGCACAGCTTTTCAATATGAACACCACTTACACATTGCTACGCCACCATTCACACGGAGCTGTCTTGTTCCTTTAAAAACGGCAGACCTTTGCATTGTATAGATTCACTAGAATTTAATGAACCAGACCTCTCTTGATGATATTTTTGTTCCCAATCTTTTAGTAATGCCATAATGTTTGCACATGTGGCAGCTTGCACATATGAGAGTATTTATATGAGAGAGTCCCAGAATTACCAGATCAGAGGGTATATGCAGTTATTTTGACAGAGCCAAATTGGTCTTTATAGAAATCAACACTCTCCTCCCAGTATGATAGCACCTGTTTTCCCAAATCCTGACTCTGAAATTTTGCCAATATGGGAGAAAGAGTAATTCACTGTGTCTTTCATTTTTTTTTTCTGTTATTATGAGTGGGGCTAAGCATCTTTTAATACGTTTAAGAGATATTGACGTTTTCTTTCCTGTGAACTATCCACCTTCTGTGTGCTGGCCAGCCCAGCTGAAGGGAGCAAACAGAATCCCTTTTTGCCGAAGGCAACCCCTCCCTTCAGTCGGACAGGCCAGCATTGATCAGAGCCTTTGTTAATTAGGTCACCTGATATCCCCCCCCCCCCACCATCCCCAGGACTGTCCACCTTCTCTGTGCATTTCTGGTTTTGGTCTTTTACCAAAGCGGGGCTCTTTCCTTTTTGCTATGCATGACAAAAATTCAGAATATCCTTTGAAAACGACATCTTCCAAGGAAGCCAAGTATGGAAAGCAAAACGGAGGCTCTATATTTGAGGCGAGGGCGGGATTCACAGGGTGGAAGGCAGGGAATGTCACCGACAAGGACATCCGGGGGTTTATCCCCATCCTGGGGTGGGGAATCGGGGTCTGTGTTGCTGTCAGCACTTGGGGAAGCTTCTGGGACTCACCTCCTCTCCCTGCACGCTGTCTCTGCCTCCAGCTCATGTGCTCCTCGGTGCAGAAGGCCCTGTTTGAGGAGGAGGACCACGTCAAGAAGCTGCAGCAGAAAGTGGCCACCCTGGAGAAGCGCAACCGGCAGCTCCGGGAGCGGGTGAAAAAGGTCAAGAGGTCCTTGCGGCAGGCGCGTAAGAAGGGCCGCCACCTGGAGCTGGCGAACCAGAAACTCAGTGAGAAGCTGGCGGCGGGGGCGCTGCCGCACATCAACGCCCGGGGGCCCGTGCGCGCCCCCTACCTGCGCGGGTGACGGGCCCGGGGGCTGCCGGGTGTGCAGGGCCAATCCTGGCGATAATTGAGAATGAGTGAGGTTTTGTACATGCAGCTGTTCCAAGCGTTGTAGGAGTTTTTGTTTTTAATCACGCATTTGGTAGAGTCTAAATGGATAAAATGCAAGGCTTGCTTTCCCCTTGGGTGCTGGCCTCAACGTCAGACCCCACGCGCTGCCCCTTCCTGGCCTGATCCCAGACACAGTGCCTGGCAGTCCAGAAGCAGCGGGATCCCTGAGTGCTGTGTGCTCGCCTGCAGAGCGGCCTAGAAAGAACCCTGACTGGGGAGAGAACACTTTAGAATCTCTAGTGTAAAAGACATCAACGTGCTGAGCCTTTATTTCAGAAGAAAATCAGGGTGGTTCTGAGCTCCCCAGTCCAGGACAACCACTAGTCCTGATGAGTGAGCTGACGCTAGTGCTCGAACCTGCTGGCACCTTACTGTACATCTTTGGAAGGGGATGGTGGCCTTGTACCCGAGATGCCTGAAAATCAACACGTGCAGGGCCTCCCTATCCAGCCAGCATTTTCCTTCCAGCGAGGCAGGTGAAGACTTAATAAGCTCATCACAGGGGAGGGAATTGCATTAGGAGCAGGGCAGCAGGTAATTAAACAAGATAAATGATACCTGATTTCCAACACCAGCTACGACGAGTTGAAGATGATACCTATGGGTCCTGTTAACACAGGGGCAAGTGCCTTGATCGGCCTGCCATGGGTCATCAAACTGCTTCCTAAATTGAGAGAACCTGAGCAATCTCTCAGCCACTGCTATCATCTAACTTCTTGTTTGCTTAGTAATTGTTTTCTAATGTCTCTGAATTCAAAGTGAGGTGCCCCAAGACGCTGTGAACTTCTGCAAAGACACCTCCTTACCTATTGGGATCGGGTGACGTGACCTCACTCCCAGCCAGGCTCCCAAAGGGCTTATTCCAGCCATTCCAATCTCTTCTTTATACAAACACTTTCCCCCAACAAATTTTGTTTGTTCCAATAGGAATATTTGTACATCAGGGCACTTCTCCTTATGTCCGTTCCTTACACCACCAAAGCACTTCTTCGCCTTTCCAGAAAGAACACTTTTAAGACAGTACTATAAGTAAACATGAGAGTATTCACTCTACTTATTGCTCAGGCACATTTGAGCAGGTCCCAGTTGTGTGATTAAGAAGTCAACTGAGTGGCCTTTCCTGGGTTATCTTCTGATCGTGGCCTTTCAACCCAACAAGGGCCCTTCCCTGCTTTTCCACTGATAAAGGCTCCTGGCCCTTCATCAGGATCTGCCCCCCAGAGACCACCCAGACACTGCAGGGCCTGGTGATGCTGTCCTCTGCACCGGAAATGACAGGCACTGTCAGATTTCCACTCTTCCGCCTGTAGGAAAGCTGGGTGCTTCTTGTTCTGACAGCCAGTCTGGCGAGATGAGTCTTATGCTGCTTGAGTCTTGGTGGCAGGCTGCTATCCAAGGGGGAGAAGTCTCTGCTCTGCTCTGGACTGGACAGAAGAGAGACTTTTACCCCAGGGCACTCACACAGCCAAGCTTCTGCCACCACTTCATTAGCTGTATTCTCCAGAGCGTGGTGTAATAGCAGGTGCGTCTTCTAGTGTATTCCTACTGGGGACACTTCCTCAAAGCAGTTTTGCTCCCCTGCAAGGGAATGGTCAGCCTAAGGATAATGTACAGCCCGTGCTTGGAGAACCGTGGAAGCTGCACCCCTACAGGTACATTCTGTTCTGCTTTTGCAATAAATACGAGCGGCAATTTCAACCACAACAGTGAGATGATGAGTGTTTCTTTTGGGTCAGGGAGATTTCAGGATTTCCAGCTTTGGCCTGGAAAAGCGATTTAGATCCTCTGGGGAAATGCCTGTGAGTAACACCTGGGGCACTGAGGAACCTGAATTCAAGCCTGCTCTGCCGTCCCTGTCTGGATGTAGTCTCACCCCATCTCGCCCTGAGGTTTCCGTTTCTCAACACACCTGCAGAAAAGCAGTGTTCTCCTGCCTGGCTCCTCACGAGGGACAAGCAGCGACATTAATCGATGTCTTCAGAAAAGCACACTGAGATCTGCTGCCAAAGGGGACTCCCCAGACCCCTGTTATCTGCTGCACTGTCATCTTCTGCTGCCCGTGTCATCTGTTAATTGTAGGAATATATTATGCTTCACACTCTAATAATTACTCAGACCTTGACTCCCTGTAGCCAGCCTGTCTGGACACTATCTCCGAGATCCAGGCCATTGTTTACTTTCCCTCTGTGGTACAAGGAGCCCAGGAGACTTCCAAACTCACATAACAAGAGCCAGGTAGAGTCTAGAATCTTCAAACTGCAGTTTCCAGAAATCAAGATAGCAGCATGTGGGCCATAGCTAGCATGGGTTTAAATTCTTGACCTACAGGAGTTTGAGACCAGCCTGGCCAACATGGTGAAACCCTGTCTCTGTTAAAAATACAGAAATTAACAGGGCGTGGTGGTAGGTAGTCCCAGCTACTCAGGAGGCCAAGGCAGAAGAATCACTTGAATCTGGGAGGCAGAGGTTGCAATGAGCCGAGATTGTACCACTGCACTCCAGCCTGGGCAACAGAGTGAGACTCCATCTCAAAACAAAACAAAACAAACAAAAAATTATTGACCTAAGCCATGGCCAAAAACCCCAGAAAGTCCATTTATTTAACCACAAAACCAACATAGCCAAACATCAGATGTAGGGCAACTTAGGTTGAAGTCACAGCCTTACCAGAACTCATAGAAGAATCTCAGTAACTCATTGGAAATGAGGGGGACCTCAAAAATCTTAATAGATATATTCAGTCCAATTCCCCTCAACTCATAAACCCTACTGGGCTTTCCTGCTAGCAGAAACAGCAGCTCCCTCCCTGTCTGATGAAGCTGTCCTTACCTTGCTTAAGGACCACACATGGCCTTTCTTGAGATACTTACTCTGTGTAAAGAGCCCAGTTGTCTTCACGCTCCACTCTCGGGACCAGCTACATGATTTGCAGGACCCTAGTGCAAAATGACAATTCAGAGCCTGTTATTTAAAAAACTGAGAATTTCAAGGAAGCAACAGCAAAGCATTAAACCAAGTGTGGGACCCTCTGAAGCACAATGCTCTGTGTGACTGCATGGTCAAAGGCCCGTGAAACTGCCCCTGCCCATGATACCATTCCATCTTTACCTCTAGATATATAATTAGATTAATTGGACATAGGGAAATTCACCAAGTCACACTCAGAAAACTGCTTACACACCAAAGTAATTTCTAGATTTTGCCAAATTATAGTGGTTAAAGCCTAAGGGTTATATGGTGGGAATGGATACTTAGTGTCTTTCCTGGATTAGCCAAGGGGAAACCTAAATTTAGAGTGTGCAGAATTTATTTATATGGGTGTGTTTGATAGTGTCAGGATTCAATGTACTAGCTCACTCAGGCAGCTGGAGGTGGTTCTTGCTCAGTTACTTGAACTATGGACTCAATGGTAACCTATGCTGAATGAAAATGAGATGCCAGAAGTTGCTAGGTATCATTTAGACAAAACGATCCAAAGGATTAGGGAGACAGGAAGGTTCAAGTTGCAACTCAGTCAGCTAGTTCCTAACTTGACACCTGAGAAGACCTGGAACACATTCACTTTAGAAAGTATCATGTGTCGGCATCCTTGAAAAGCACAGAGGCAGTCATACTTGGAAGCTTAGAGGTAAATGTGGGAGATGCTGCCATTAACTTGGGTCCCTGAACTCAGTGTGGATTATGGGGTCCTAGGGTACAAACACCATGTAGCCATGCTCAACTTCCAGAGACAAAGTGGATGTGGTCATTGTAATAGGAAGCAGTGCCAAGGAAGTCATCCAAATGGTAGATCATAGAGTTCCTAGGACTGAAAAACAGATGGACCTCCTAGGAAAGTCTGGACTGATTTGTATACCAGAAAGAAAGACAGAAGAAAGAAGAGAGAGAGAGCAACAGAGAGTGAGCAAATGAGGGAGGGAAATAATGAAGAAAGGAAGGAAGAGAAAGAAAGGAAAGGAAAGGAAGATGAAAGAAAGAAGGAAGGAAGGAGAGAGAGAGAAAGAGAGAAAGAAGGAAGAAAGGAAAGAAAGAGAAAGAGAAGGAAAGAAAGAAGAAAGGAAAGGAAAGAAGGAAGGAAAGAAAGAAAGGCAGGAAGGAAAGAAAGGCAAGAAAAGAAAAGGACAGAAGGGAGGGAGGGAGGGAAAAAGAAGGAAGGAAGGAAGGAGGGAGGGAAGGAAGGAAGGAAAGAAGGAAGGGAGGGAGGGAGGGAGGGTGGAAAAGAAGGAAGGGAGGGAGGGAGGGAGGGAGGGAGGGTGGGAAAGAAGGAGGGAGACCTAGGCCAGGCATGATGGCTCACGCCTGTAATCCCAGCACTTTGGGAGGCTGAAGCAGTTAGATCATTTGAGGTCAGGAGTTTGAGACCAGCCTGGCCAACATGGTGAAACCCCATCTCTACTAAAAAAAAGTACGAAAAATTATCCAGGCATGGTGGTGGGTGCCCGTAATCCCAGCTACTTGGGAGGCTGAGAAAAGAGAATCACTTGAACCTGGGAGGCAGAGGTTGCAGTGAGCCGAGATTGCATCACTGTACTCCTGCCTGGGTGACAAAGCAAGACTCTCAAAAAAAGAGAAATCTAGATCTGGCAGACAGAAGCCTGACTTGAGCCTACATGTTTGGGAAAGTCATGGCCCTTCAACCAGTTCCAAGACCTAAGAATTCGTAGAGCCCCTTGATCAAAGGGAGGTCAGGAACTCTTGAAGAAAGGCATTGTGGTAACGTTACAGGATGCTATAGATCTTCCTATACTTACTAGAAAGGAGCTTCAGATGCTCACCAGTGTAACTGTGCACCACAGCAAAGGAAATCCTAAAACCTTCGAGAGATTATTGATACTGGTGCTGAGCTCTTACTGAGACAACAGAGGGGATGCTTATGGGGGTCAGAGAGTAAATGGTGCTCAGGCACAAATCCACCTCACATTAAGCCTCACGAGTCTGTAAACCCATTCTGTGGCTCTTTTCCCCAGCTCCTGAGTAAGTAGTCAGAATAGACATTCTTGACATTGGGCAGATGCCCACAATGGCTCTCTGAACCATGGGGTTAAGGTTATTGTGTCAGGGAAGGTCAAGAGAAAACCCTGGAACTTCAGTTTGTTAGTAATGCTAAAGTAGATAAAGAGTAAATAAAATACAAACCAGGAGAATAATATTTTACCAAATGGAGAATATTAGCAAAAAGATAGAAATTATAAAAAGGAATCCAAAGGAAAATCTGGAGTTGAAAAGTACAAATAACTGAAAAATTCACTCAAGAGGTTCAACAGCAGATTCAAACAAGCAGAATAATCAGTGAACGTATAGATTAACAAGGCTGAGAAAGAGAAATAAAAAGGAATGAAGAAAAATGAACAGAGCCTAAGAGATGTATAGGATGCTATCAAGTGGACCAACATACACATATTGAGAGTTCCAGAAGGAGAGGAGAAAAAGAAAGGGACAGAGAGTAGATTAGGAATTCCCAGGTGCTGGATATGAATGAGGAGTGGGTATAGGGTCTCTTTTGGAGTGATAAAATGTTCTAGAATTAGATAGCAGTAGTATTTTACAACACTGTGAATATACTGAAAACCACTTAATTATACACCTAAAAATGGTTAAAATGGTGAATTTTTAATGCAAATTTTATCTTAATAAAAGGAAATCATCGTTTCAGTTCCTCCTGCCTACCCTTCATCAATATAAACCCTCACTGGATGCAACTTACCCAGCACCAATGTCTTTACTTGTACCATTTTCTCTACCTTTTACTTGGCCTCTCTTTGTCCACCTCTATCTGAGAAAATCCTACTCAAGTTTAAAAATCTTGCCCAAATGCTATCGTGGTTCTCATTCCTCAAAGCAACTTTCGTAATTCTTTAAAATATTATAGTTTAGAAGTGGATAGCTATTGAGAAGACAGGGGCTATCCAGCCTAAGCCCAACTGGAAAGTTTTGCTAAGTATCAATTTGTGAAATTGCGGTTTAAAAAAACACACACTATAAAACTACCATCTTAACCATTTTGAAGAGTGCAGTTCAATAGTGTTAAACATATTCATACCATTGTGCAACAACTGAGTATCACTGAAACCTTGATTGGTGAAGTCTTCCCTAACCCCCTAATTGGAATCAATGACTCCTCCCTCTGTAATTCTATAGCATTTGGGGCACGCTTTTGTTCTAGACCACATTTCTTTCCAGTTAGCTCTTGTGTCTGTTCCTCTCACTAATTTTTGAGCTCCATGAGGACAGGGCTTGTGGCTGACTCACTTCTGATCTTCATGGCCTGCACACTGTGACACAAACTAAATGCTCATCGAGGAAAGAATGAAGGGATGAAGATGGTAGCATCAGGTACCGAGGCTGCCAGCATCGTAAGAACTGGAGGTGTGGAGTGAAGGAGACAATGGATTCTTCACCACTCAGGGTTCCTCCTCTTCCTCTGCATCCTGGCCTCACATCTTGCCTCAGCCCTGGCCAGAAGCAGGGGCCATGACAATCACTCCTTGGGTTCTAGGGTTTCGTCAGTGTCTGGCCTCAAGAAAACTCCTACACCAGAATAGTTCCATGGCTAAATCCTCTAGCTGTTGAACTGCTATGATTCAAAACTGTTTGTTCTGTATCTAAAGATTTTTTTAGCTTCCAACTCTTTCTAGCTTCCAACTCAACTGGACTATAGGATCATGCAAAACATCCTCCAATAGTAGCATTGGCTCCCCACCTTG